AAATTGAATTGAGGATTTGGAGACTCATCACACAGCTAATATTTGGTTGAGTCAGGATGGGTCAAATGCAGAGGATGAATTGTCTTTTTCCTTACAGACATGGCAGAATGTTGAGACAAGGCTGTTGGTAGTTTTGTCCCCTGTTAGCACCGTCTCCCCCCCTCCCTCTCGTGTTTTTGGGAGCAGTGAAGCAGCTCTGGGCCTGGAGGACACTTTTCAGCCTGGACACACACTGCACTGGAGTGGCCCTGCTTCACTGAGCTGCACGGGTCAGCGGCTCTACACGAAGCACCCAGCCAAAAGCAGCCGAGCGAGAGCCAGACATACCTGGAACATGGGCAGACAGCGCTTAGGTCAACTCTAATGCAAGATGACGCATTGATACAAATGTGTAACTGTGCTTTGGAATAGAACAGGAGATGTGAAATGTATCAGCGGCAATATGGAGCGTGTGGTTGATTTTAACAATAGAAATTGGGATGCAAATGTTGAAATCAGTGCACGCGCAAAACTGTATTTTTAATGTGCAATAAAGAAAGCTGAAATCCAGTGGTTCCCAACCTTTTTTCTGATGAGTAACCCCCAAGTCTTGTGTTAGACCCCACAATGCATCTGCCAGACATCCTATTACTATTCATTGCCAATTATTTCATGATCTTCCACCGTCATATGGAAATTAAACGTTAAAAAAACTCTCAACCTTTTAATTCTGACATCAGTCCAAGTACTAAGTGCTTGCGTATTTATTCTGAATGTATTTTGGCACTTCATATATTTACTCTTCATTGATTTAAAATCTTTTATGTGATTGGATCTATGGCTTCTTTGGCACACAACTTCTCTTCCTATTTAAATAGTGATAACTAATTGAATCAAACTGCATTCAGGTACATTATTCATTTTGGTATTTACCTTGCAAAGCTCAAAGGAACACATTGTGGTATATGATTGAGTAATTTTGTTTAAAAAATACAATGATATTTTAACTATTTAAAACTAAAGAAACTTAGCGATTTGTTTTACTTTACACTTCTCTAAGTTTTTAAGATCCCCTGCAAAAATTGAGCTGACAAGTGTCGTAGATTGATGTTTTTTTTTCACGCTTTAGTCTTTCTGTAAATCAACATATTGTAACTGTATGCTAGTGTTCAGAATAGTGACACAACAACTTTTTAGCCACTGCACTTGGTAAGGGATTTTGAAAAGCTCTTTTTTGGAGAAAAACGTGCAATTTATTTCACAAATAGAAGCCGACAATATATTTTAACGTTATTGCCGAGTTCTGATATAGACTTAATCTCCCCAAAACTGTTCCGGACATTTGACATTTGTTCATATCGTATATTTTAGAATCAATGCTCTATTGTTACTCAATCGCGCAAAAGTTAATTGAGTTTTGATCCGTAGCCGTGAAAAACTATGCCCTGGCAGACTCACTCACTCACACACACAGACTCATACTAGGAAATGTCAATCAATCAATCAATCAAATTTTATTTATAAAGCGCTTTTCATACAAAAAGTGTAACACAAAGTGCTTTACAGTTTAGTTAAAAACAATCCAACATGCCCAGCCCTAAACCCTCCTCCCCACAGACCCCCCAAAAACACATTTATAATTATATATACAATACACACACCACACACACACACACACACACACACACACACACACACACACACACACACACACACACACACACACACACACACACACACACACACACACACACACACACACACACACACACACACACACACACACACACACATATACACAAGTATAAAGTCATATCAGGTAAAATAGGTAAAACAATAAAAAGAAATGGGGCTGGGAGCAGATGTAACCGGCTGAAGAAGCGTCATCCAAGGAGCCATCTGCACCAGGAGCAGAGAGCCGGCTGCAGCCACAGGCAACGACACAGGACCCAGAGGAGAGAGGGGCCCCAGACCCCACCAGGCCCAGGACTCAGACCCCATAGGACCCAGAGGAGAGAGGAGGCCCCAGACCCCCACCGGATCCAAGAGCCAGTCCCCCGAAGCCACAGCAGACCCCAGCCCTCAGTGCAGAGGGCTCCTCCAGAGGAAACACTGGGGACACTAAAACAATACAATAATACAATAGAAAGCAGAACAATAGAATGTGAAAATAAAAAGAAAAATGGCAGCTGCCTAATATAATAACAATAGTAAATGGGTAGATACAATAAATAATTAAAAATAGTAAATAATAAAAATAAATAAAAATATAATCCGTCTAAAAACATAAATAGATGTACTAAAAAGCAATAATAGATAATAAATACTAATCAAAAGCTGCTCTAAAAAGGTGCGTCTTGAGCCTACTCTTAAAAATATGAACGTTCTCTGCGGCCCTGAGCTCCTCCGGCAGACTGTTCCAGAGACGGGGGCCGTAGTGCTGGAAAGATGCCTCGCCGTGAGTGTGTGTCCTGACTTTGGGGATGGTTAGGAGTCTGCTGCCGGAGGAGCGCAGGGGCCGGGAAGGCTCATAGGATAAAAGCAAATCTGAAAGATAAGAAGGCCCAAGACCATTAAGACATTTAAAGACCATTAAAAGAACCTTAAAATCGATCCTGAAACACACGGGGAGCCAATGCAGCGATTTTAAAACCGGTGTAATGTGGTCCCGCCCCCTGGTCTTAGTCAGGACACGTGCGGCCGAGTTTTGAAGTAATTGTAAACCTGAAATGTTCTTTTTGGGAAGACCAGAGAGCAGGGCATTACAGTAGTCAATGCGACTGGTGATAAAAGCATGCATCAGCGTCTCCGTGTTGGCCCGAGAGAGAATGGGGCGGACTCTGGCGATGTTCTTTAAATGATAAAAACCTATTTTTGTGATGTTCTTGATGTGAGGAATAAAAGTCAGCTCAGAGTCAAAGATTACGCCCAGGTTTTTCACTTGTGATGATGGATTAAAAGAGTGTGATTGGAGTTTCGGTAAAAGTTTCTCTCTCTGGGCCTCAGGGCCGATGACTAAAACCTCAGTTTTGTCCTGGTTGAGCTGGAGAAAGTTTTCTGCCATCCAGGATTTCAGGTCTAAAATGCAGTTAAAAAGAGCATCCATTGGCCTGGTGTCATCAGGAGACATGGAGATGTACAGCTGTGTATCATCTGCATAACTGTGGAAGTCAATTCCATGTCTCCTGATGACACCGCCAAGAGGGAGCATGTACAGGTTAAAAAGGACTGGACCTAAAATGGAACCCTGGGGCACACCACATGTGATTTTATGGACCTGAGAGGAGCAGGTATCCAAACTTACCATGAAGGATCTGTCTGTTAAATAGGAAGTGAACCATTTGTGGACAGCACCAGAGAGGCCGAGGTGTTTCAGGCGGGATAAAAGAATGGTGTGGTCTACTGTATCAAAGGCAGCGCTTAGATCCAGTAGAACCAACACGGTCACCTTTTTAGAATCATAATTTAGTCTAAAATCATTTAAAATCTTTAAAAGAGCAGTCTCTGTGCTGTGGTTCACCCTAAATCCTGATTGAAATTTCTCTAAAATTTGCTGCTGATCTAAAAAGGCATTGAGCTGGGTAAAAACAAGTTTTTCTAAAATTTTGCTTAAAAATGGTAAGTTGGATACCGGTCTGTAGTTGTTAAAATCATTAAAATCCAAATTGCTCTTCTTCAGAAGGGGCCTCACCACAGCCGCTTTGAAGGCTGCAGGAAAGACCCCAGTCTGAAGAGAGCAATTCATCAGGTTTAAAAGCTCCTCTCTAAAAGATTCATAAAATGACTTAAAAAATGGAGTGGGGACTGGATCTAAAAGACATGTGGTGGGCCTCACTGAGGAGAAAACTTTATCAAGCATCTCAGCATCAACCAGGACAAAACTGTCCAGTGTTTCCTCTGGTGAAGACAAACAATCAGATGTGTTAAAAACAGTTGTGGCAAATGTGGCTGAAGTGTCTTGCCTAAAGACACAGCAACAGTATGACACTCTAGCCTCAGCCACACCTGGTGTTCGGAGCAGTTTCCCATCCCAGTACTAACCAGTCCTTGCTCTGCTTAGCTGTTTGGGTCTGGCAATATTAGGTATTGACATGAATGGAAATATACTTAATGTTGATATGTATATTGATAATAAATAACATCTGTACTTCTTCATGTATGCATATGATTAATATTTATGACCATTGACCGTCCATGGTATTGTATTGTGTAAGCTTATATAGACTATAGCTCTATCTTTTCTCATTGCTACGGATGTAAATAAATAAAACTGAACATGCAATAATTCAGTATGCTGCACTTAAACACATTTTTGAACGCATTCCCATCATCCTTCCCCTGCACCGCGGCTTGAGAATCACTGCTGCTGCCTGTATCCAGTGTGTGGTTATGGCACAGGGTCCGTGGGGGTCAAATGGGGGTTGGCCTTAACGCTCTCCCCCAACGGCTGCATTATTTATTATTCTCCCCCTTTTGCTACATCCATCTCCTCTCCATCCTTTACCCATTCACACAAAGCAGTGATGGACTGTTCACGAGAGGCGCCTGCAGGTGGGGCTAAGTGCGCTTCTACCTCCACCCCCCCATCTCCCCCCTCCACATGATGAGGCTTACGTGGGCGTGGTCTTCGCGCTGTGGCTGAGCGTGTGGACCGCGTTGCTCTCTCCTGCACCACTCTACTCCACTCCCGGTGACAAAAGCCAGATGATGGAGACAGCGCGTTGATTGGCGCATAGACACTTGAATGGTCTGCGAAAGATTCTTATTTGTGTGTTTTTTTTCCCCTGCGCAGCACACTTGCCTCTCTCTTTCTGTTGGAAGCTGTTTTACGCACTCCAGCTCAGAGCGTCACTTCAGATTACAGCTACTAAAAAAAAAGAAGACAGAAAGAAAGAAAAAGCTACATCAATTTTGACAACAAAACCCCTGGTGAAGGAAAGGGGACATTTTGTCATTCTTTCTTATTTCATTTTTTTTTCTCTCGGATTTTTCCCCATCACTTGCGGGAGAGCGGAGAGGCGATGGACGAGCAAGCCAGGCTGATGCACTCTCACGCCGGGGTGGGCATGACAGGGCACCCCGGGCTCCACATGCAAGACAGCGCTGGAGCGGACGGAGACGGGAGGAAACAGGACATCGGAGACATTTTACAGCAGATTATGACCATCACGGACCAGAGCTTGGACGAGGCTCAAGCCAGGTAAAGAGACAGACAGACGCCAGTGTGTGAAAGACGCGCCAAAATGTACGCGTGCCATTCGTCTACGGCTGACGTTCTAAAAGGCTTGTGTGTTTGCATTGTGTGTGGAGCTGCTCTGTACTTAGCCACACATGCTGTAAACTTTTGTGAATAGTAATAGTAATAATAAAATCAGGAATAATACGATATAAATAATTTTAAACACCGCGACAGTAGCATGGGACAATACAGGAACTTGATCTCTTGAATCGCGATTTTCATGTTGAAATAAATTCGAATTACGATAAAATTAAAATAATGAACAATAATGATAACAATAATAATAACGACTTTAAATATTAGGTTAATTTATACAATAAATCTTATGTTCAAACACCTACTGCAGTGTCGGTCCAGCACGAATCTTGCTTTTCATATAATAATAATAATATCTTTGTTGCAAGTCGCACCTGGTGTTCTCAGCAGTCTCCCATCACAGTACTAACCAGTTCCTGCTCTGCTTCGCTGTTTAGCTCTGGCGATATCAGAATATCGCCAAAGCTAAACAGCGAATGACAATAACCTTTAATCTGCTATGTATCTGAAATTAAATTACTTCTATAACATTTGCACTTCTTTATGTACTTGTTTGCATATCATTAATATTGTTAGTAACCACCCATAGTAATGTATTGTATAAGCTCCAATGGGCTAAAATTCTATCTATTTTTAATTAATTCTAATCTAATAGTTAATAATATTATCTTGGTTGGCAATATCACAAAACACACATGGGAAATGAATAATGGAATAAACAGTTAATAATAATTAGTAATATTAGTCATATTTATTGTCCCTTCCCTAGTGTTTATAATGCATATGTTAATTACTATTACTATTATTTAACTAAACATAATGCTGTGTTAATGGACAGAAGGTTGGAAGGACAGATACATTTTGAATCTTTAATTTGAAGTGTGATTTTGCGTTGAATCCGAAAGCAACTTATTCACCGTGATAAATTATTCATACGTTTGCAATTCAGAAGGAATTCATTAGAGCGAGAAACACATGTAGCTTTCTGCAGGTCTGAATAGAGAGAGTCTAATATACAGCTGGGGCATAATAAGTGATATAGTAAAAAGGAGAAATAGCACAAGTGCATTAGTGTTTTAATATGTGTTTTAGTACCAAAAGCTGAGTTCATAAGATCAAACGATTTAACTATATAACATTGTTTTTTATGAGTGTATGGTGTGTGTAATTCTTGAAGTAAAGCTGCCATACTGTACAGTGATAATTTTCTTGTGTTGCATTACTCACTACTACTATGAAAAAAACGATTATAAAAAGTATAAATTGTGGGTATTACCAAAACAATGACAACCAATGACTTTCAATGACAAATGTATACAGTACATATACAGTATATAAAGTACATTTTACTGTGTATTGCAGTTTTACTTATTACAGTGTTTGCCTTCTTACAGGAAACATGCTTTGAACTGTCACCGAATGAAGCCTGCTCTTTTCAACGTTTTGTGCGAAATCAAAGAAAAAACAGGTAAGTTCTCCTTTTCATTACTGTCAGCTGTTAAGCTTTCTATGATTCGCTTTAACCTGGCACATTTCACATTACGGTATTATCCTTCGAATAACGCTCAAAGTCGCTAATTTCAACCAGAAAGCTATAATTATTTTATGCCATAGAAAAATTTCAAAGCATTTTTTTTTCTCACGCAGCACAATCGTTGCATAAATTTCTCCTTGACGTGTGTTTCCTCTTCCGTCTCAAGTCGCTCGAATTCTTTCACAATATGGAAACTGTGGATAATTTCCTCAAAAATGAAGATGATCAATTATGGTGTCAAAAGAAGAATACGGTTATATGAGGCTATTGTGGCGGGCTGGTTTCCCCTCGTGAAGGCTTCTTCCTCCGGTGTGTGACCGTCCAGAACACACACACTTTTGAGACTTGTTTTGGCTGGAGCTGAGGAAAGAGAGCGAGAGGTTATCGATGTAGTTTAGGGCTGCACGATGACGCAAACATGTATAAATTGGCCAAAATTGTGTTTTTTGGGAGAATTTTAGCTGCAGTTTTAAACACATTTAAAAACATTATTGATAGTTTTTGTGAAGCTGCAAATATATAGTTCTGGTATAAATCCAATCCTAACTCCAATTTCAAATTTGTGATTTTTCCCCCCAGTATTATTACCTGTTCAAATGAGAAGCAATTTTTGATAACTTTTGATTGTTTTTGGATTGATTAATGTCTGATTTTCTGTACTTTTGATATCGCTAAAACTACAAGAGCATAAATATTGCAGAGAATACTAAAACTTGAGGAAATCTTTTAAACCTAAAATGCACAACATTTCAAAAAATATAGTTTAAATTCCAACAATAAATTCCCTTAAATAAGCTACTCTCTGTTAAAAAAGGTAAAATCTAAAAATCAAAGCCAATCAAGCCCATCATTTCTTGCTATAACTTTGTGCAGTGTGGATTAGACTTTTTTTCTTTTGTGATATTTGGTTCAATCTTGCAGTCCGAAAAGTGTGTTATTTCACTGGACATACAATGAGACTAATCTAGCTTTAGGGATTTCATGTAAGGCACAGATTATATTGCAGCGGTGATAGAACGTGTGTTGTGTACTCTGGTTTTGGGTTAGTTTGATCTGAATCATACTGTCATTTCTATTCATCAATGAACGTCTTGGGTTAGTTTTTGTTTGACCTTTGTTGTAAAGCAGCATCATTTTCCTTGCCAGTCTATAGTCGTTTGTAGTTCAGAATTTGAAAGAATAAATGTTATTTTTTTTACCCCGGAATGGCCTTGAATCAATGTCGGTCTTGTTTAATTTTTGACATCGAAACTTCAAATTTGTTTTAATTTGACTTAATAGGAAATACAAAGCCATTAATGACCGTTATTGTTGAAACACATTGTGATAAAACATTCAGGCATTACTCAATAGGTCATGGTTGAATTTTGACCAAAAATACAAATTTCAATGTCAGAATGAGATGAATGGGACCTGTCATTTTGAATAGACTTGTATATCTTATGCTTTAATCGCTTGTGGATATTGACAATGTATTATTTTTTTATATGTAGAGATTGTATGAAATCTCAGGCTGATCTTAAGCCCCAGCAAATGTGTTTAACAGATACCAATTTGTCTCCATGATCTCCTTTGCATGTGGGGTTTGTGAGCTCTTGTCTCCCCCCAATGCAAGGATTCGAAGCAACATCAATGCGTCAGGAATTAAACAAGAGTAAAAGCAGAGGGGAAAAAAGTATTGGCTGTTATGAAAGTGTAGATGAATTGTGTCATGTCGTCACTGTTTGTGCACTAAACGATGTTGTAAATTTTTAGCCTTCTCAGTAACGCACTGAGAGTTGTAATTAAAATGCTCAGATTTTGGGTCGTAATACACAACTACTGTATGTGTACTGCATTTCTCACACCCTTGTTCTGACCCTCCCTGTTTCTACGGCCACTATTCTTATTTTCAAAGCAGTTTATTTGATTAAGTTGCTTCAGATCACGACTGAGATTTAAGTCTTTGAAGTAATGATGGATGTCACAAGTAAATAATCTATGTATATATGGCATTTCAGAGCTCATTTAAAGCGCAAGTCATCAGTGATATTCCTTACTATACAAACATTTGCTTTGAATCTACTCCAAACCAATTTCAAATAACATTAAAATATAAATATAAAATGTTAGATATTCTTTCCTACGAAGAGAAGTGCAAAATTGACGGTATAGTTTTATATATAGTTGTTTTTATTTTGTACTGTACGTCCTTATGTTTTATTCATCTACTTCTCTGCACTGTTTTTATATACATCTGAAATGAAATGAAAATGAAACTCTTGTCTCTGTGCAACACTTTGGAAACTTGTTTTTATAAAATGTGCTATATAACTAAGGTGAGTTGGATTGGATCGGATGCTAGAATATGTTATTTTGGATTAGTTTTGGAAATGATCAAAATCTTTCTAAAACTGCTCAAGAAATGTAAAAGGTTTCCTTGGTTCTGTAATTATGGTATCTGGTTTCGATACTGGTTTGAGAATCGAATCACAGCTGCTTGACATTTGGACATTAACTCAGGAGTATTTGTGCGTTTCTTTGTATTTTATTTTCTTAAATCTTGCACGGGGGAGACTCAGGAGTGCTCTGGGTTCACTCAGAGTTCGGCGGCTCTCACACAAAGTGCCTGGGCCTTTTTCCTGCTCTGCAAACTCTGTCCACAATTTGTGAAGCGTGTGCGTGTTCTTTCTGAAAATCAAAAATAATTACCGTCAAATCCTAAGTGTTTGAAGCGTCTTAATCTTCATCTGGATTCAAGCACTTTAACTGGTCTCAAACGGGAGAACAAAAAAAAATACTTTAATGCTAATTGTGACTTGGAATCCTACTTATCCTGACATAAGAGAAAAGCCCTTGTTCCATTGTCACTTCTTGTTGACAATCAAAACCAAATAAACAAATTTTGTCTGTGATTTTAAAGTATATCTTTCATTTGGAACAGAACAGATCAGACCAACAAAATTTGGGAACAGAAGTTGAATCAAGTTGTTTTTCATCATGACTTGATCAATCAATCAATCAATATTTATTTGTAGGCTTACCATAGCGCTGTACAGACAAGTACAGCAATTCAAAATAAAAATATAAAAATGTACTGTACATATAAAACTACATCTTTTTTTTTTTTTTTTTCAGCGTATTTAGGTATAACTCAAAAGGTCACTTGGTTGAATCTTTTACAAAAATATAAATTTCAACGTTCAATAGACAAGTATATCTAACGCTTTGATTGCTTGTGGATATTGACATTGATGTTACAAGGTGTAAAAAAAAACAAAAACAAAAAAACAATCCAATGGGACAAGCAAATATGACTTCTTTCTAGCGCGAAATTATCCAAGTGAAATTTTCTGTTTCTCTTAACAAAATACAAACATAAATAAGCATTTACCTATTCAGGCCAATTTTTCAAAAAATGTTTACAGTATAATGATAAAGCAAAGGAAGGTTTCTCACCCATCATCTGTACTTCTTAGCAAGTTTTCCCAGTATAATGATACTTACGCTGTATGACTCAAGATAAGAGTACCTTTATTCTTCCCACTCTAGGGAAAGGTCAGTGTAGCGAGAGCAGTGGGAAAAATACACAAAGTACTCAAACCAAGATGAACACTGTAAAATATTGCAAAAATACACTTTTATCACCATGTCAAAATCCTGAACTAATTTGAAATGTGTAAAACTTAAGCAGCTGAGGTCCAACATGTATTCGTTCAGTTTTGGGCTTGATCAAATCCAGACCATGAAGATAAATACAAAACGCTATATACGACGTGCCATTATTATTTCTAAGCCTTTATTTATTTTTTTTCTTTTGCTCCTTTTCGTGCGTTTGTTGCTTGGGCCTTCACTCCTCCAGAGGTTTGCATTACGGCGTGTTTACATACAGACGTGTGACAGACATGACAGCGCCGGCGGGACACAATGGCCCGTGTTGATCCTGGACTTGAACTTTTGGCCTCCGGAGTGTGTATTTTTACTGGGGATGAAAAGTGGGATGAAAACCTCTGTATAAACAACCTCACAGACGCACAGGAAGGAGCGCTTGATTTAAGGTCTGGGGCGCTCCTCTGTACCTGCTCCGCTCCAAACACACTTCAAAGGAAAGGCATTTTTCACGTCTCTGAGAAAAGCCGGGATTCCAATCGAAAGACAGGGGCGGATATGTTTTAAAATTGGACTTGTGGAAAAGTTTTGAAGCAGATTAAGTCCAAGTATTAGATAAATAGATAGTTCGATAGATACTTTATTGATCCTCTGTAAGAGAAGTTCTTGTTTTCAGCAGCAGAAACTAATCTGTCCATACAAACAAATACATATTTATAAAAAGTTACTACACTGCAAAAATGTTTGCCTTTTTTTCTAAAACGTTTTTAGATGTAAGTAAGTAAGTAAGTTTTTTATTTATATACCGCCTTTTCACTGCAGATCTGAGTCTCAAAGCGGTTTACAATTGTTAATTTTGGGCATTTGTCTCTCACTCCACACAGAGATGGGAGCGGGGTCGCCAGTACAGGAAGCGCATGCCAGAACTATTGGACATATTTTTAGTGGTAGGGGAAACCGGAGTACCCGGAGGAAACCTACGCAGACACGGGGAGAACATGCAAACTCCACTCAGAAAGGCCCTGGTCCGACCGGGATTCGAACCCAGGACCTTCTTGCTGAGAGGCAAGAGTGCTATCCACTCAGCCACCGTGCCGCCCACGTGGCTGAGATGTTTCTTGTATCCTTTTAAAAACACGATAATTTTGCTTTTCCCCCAATTTGGAGCTGAAGGAATAAAGGACCTCTTAGTTATTAAGCAAATTCATAATAAAAACTTCAGTTCCACTGCTTTTTGTTTTTTGAGTGCTCCCTGAATTCATAGTGTTCTATTGTGCACTGCAACACTGACATTATCCCAAAATTAGGACAAATAAATGTTATCAAATTTTATCTTACTTGAATCTAGGGCTGGGCGATTAATCGATTTTAATCATTAATTCGAGTTTTACGTTTAGGGCGATTTCTTTTTTTAAAAATTCGATTTTTATTTTCTCCAGCGCAGAACTACAGCGCTAACGCGCTAACCGCGGGTCTATGGTGTTGAGCAGTCATTTTGAAGCTAACCTAATGCTAACAGTCTCCCTCTGGCCTGATGCTCGCTCTCACAGTTGGTGCTGTTGCAATAACACTTCAAACGTTCAAGAATCAGACTTTATTTAAATCGCCAGAACACACACACACACGCACGCAAGCTCCGGTCGCTATGTTCGTACGCCATGTTCGTACGCCACATCTTTCACGCTCTCTCACGCTCGTTATTCCAAAGCGCACTCTCGTGTCCGTGGCGCGCACACACTCGTGTCCCACTGAGCCGCTGCACTTTGGGGAAAGACACGTCTCACACATTGCTCTCATTGCTCTGATACAAACAACGTGTTCCCCGCTGTCTGTTAGCTACAGTAGCTGCTACAGTAGCTGTTAGCTACAGCATCAGAATGTAAACAGGAAGCTCGCACAATGCGGGAGTCACTGAAGTTAGTATTAGCGCCACCAGCTGGACCGAGCGTTGTACTACAGCACAGTTACTCAGGCACAGTTGAAAGAACAAGCATGAAAACCCGAGGAGGCTTTTGGAAAAGACTGTCTGTTACAACATTTCTATTTTGAGTAATCAGTTTTAAAAATGTGATATTTCATGTAAATAATGCATGTGTTTAATAGGATTGATATATTTCCGATGGGCCTTGTTTGTGTGATTTAAGTTATTTTGAAGGTGCATAGTGTCATTGTAAGTGAAGTTATTATAAAACTGTTAAGCTACATTTTCACTGTTTACAATGGCAGAGCCATCTCGTTTACAAGCATGTTTTAAGGCTTAATTCCTGTTACACTTATGCTCCATGGGGATTTAGATTAAACTGCATAAAGGAAAATGTATTTCTTTGTCAGTTGTAGTTTGTTTTTAAATAGAAAAAAATAAATCGATTAAAATCGAAAATCGGATTTGGTGTGAAAAAATCGGAGATTTTTTTTTTTTGCCATATCGCCCAGCCCTACTTGAATCATAGAAAGTATAAACAGTAATTAGTAATGGCCTTCTCTTGTTTTTCTCCTGCTTTGTTTGTACTAGTAACTTTCAAAGAAGACTGTAAATTTTGACGGCATTACAATCGGACCAGACTGTGTGTCACAAGATAAAACAATTGAGGACCCAAAAGCAGAATTGCAAAATAATGCAATTTACTAAATGCCACAAGGAAAAGAAATCCAAAAGTAAAAACTGAATCCAGGGACAAGACACTGGACCAAAAACAAGAGGTTAGGAGCACAGGCACTAAATACACTCAGAGAGACACAGGTAGAACGTCAGGGTGGAGCAAACAGTTGAAGGGACAGTACAACTCAAACAACAAGAGAAAGATAAGTATTGAAAATTGTCTGTCCCTTCATGTTACATCAAAATAAAATAAATAAGCGGTGCCAAAATGTCTTGCTAAATCTTCTGTGTATGATTGATTAAGAAAAAAAAACAATAGACAAAGTAAGTAAATAAATGGAGAAAAGGAGACTGAGGCAGTAATGGTGACTTTTATGCAGAAGCTGGGGTACTTAACTTTCAAACCAAGTCGTTGTATCGGACCGTTGTGGTAAAGAGGGAGCTGAGCCGAAAGGCAAAGCTCTGGATTTACCGGTCAATCTTCGTTCCCTCCCTCACCTATGGTCATGAGCTTTGGGTAATGACCGAAAGAACGAGATCGCGGATACAAGCGGTCGAAATGAGCTTCCTCCGCAGAGTGGCTGGGCGCTCCCTTAGAGATAGGGTGAGGAGCTCAGTCACACGGGAGGAGCTCAGAGTAGAGCCGCTGCTTCTCCACGTCGAGAGAAACCAGTTGAGGTGGCTCGGGCATCTGTTCCGGATGCCTCCTGGACGCCTCCCTGGGGAGGTGTTCCGGGCACGTCCCACCGGGAGGAGACCCCGGGGAAGACCCAGGACACGCTGGAGGGACTATGTCTCCCTGAGCTGAAGGAAGTGTGTGTGGATAGGGAAGTCTGGGCGACTGCTGCCCACCCGTTGCAACCCGGCAACGGATGAAGTGGAAGAACAATGGATGGATCAAAAATATAACCACAGTTTGATTGTAGTAGTTTTCACTTGCATGTAGTGGTTGGGATCTCTGTTGGGATATTATTTAGATCAGTTGTTTTGATAGAAATGTGTAAAAGAGAGGGCCACTCACACTCAGCCAATCAGCCCAAAGCGTCAAATAGTGACTCACAGGGCTCTTTCTTAATGTTTGAATTTTATTACATGTATATAATTAGATAAAAATAGTATCTTGTGGTCCACTTTGTTCAGAGTTTACTTTTACAACTCCTTCTCACCTGTTTTGTTGGGACAAGCACAAAGTATTATTGATTAAAAAAGAAGGTTAGGTACCCCAGATTTACAATTCTTTATTAAGAAATGTCAAAGCGCGGTGTGAGCAAGTCATTATTCACATATTTCCCAGATATTTAGAGTAATATACTGCTGCAACTTGCAATAACATAAAATAAAAGGCCTCTGAATGAATAAGAACAGCCCAGCTTTACCCTGTTGAGTTGAGATAATTTGCGAACGTTCAACTTGCTACTTGATTTTGTTCTCGCCTCTCGCCGGCTCCAGTCATTACCTCCTCACCACCATTCCAGTGCGCACTTAACCGTCACTCGCTCATTCTCAATATATCAATTATCATGTCACTGCTCAACCCAAATGTTTGCTATTTATGTGTCTAATAGAGCTGCCTGTGCAAAGCGATATGTATATTTGGAAGGCGGTTCGTTCGGGTGATGGATGAAGCGATCTCTTCAGATAACAAATTCTTTGACAAACTGATTTGGAGAATGAGCCGCGCTGACCCTGCCGCACACTTCATAAATCTCCCATTGTGTCAAATGTAACCGCGCCAATTCGGACTGCCCGTGTTTAAGTTTTTTGCGTGTTTGCGTAGGGTCTAAAGTTACAGGCCTGGGGGGAGACTTCATCGCTGAGTGACCGCTGGAAGGTGATGTAATGTTGTTCTTTGCGTGGCGCGCACGGGGAGGCAGGCGTGCGGTCGCTGTTTGACAAAGCCAAATGAGCCGCAGGTTTACTCATGGAGACGTCTGGGTTGAATGCATTGACTTCGGTTCGTTGCCTTTTTGTATGACACAGAATTAGCTTTTTGTCAGAGAGACGGGAGAGATTGCTGGGTTTTTGGGGAGTTTGGTGAGAAATACATTCAGGAATTTGTCAGACTAGCAGAATTGTGCTAAATCTTGGGATGTGCCAAAGATTAAAAGATTGCATTCTAAATTTTGGCACTTATCAACACCTGAAATGAAATTGAAATACAACACCAATAGTGTGGTTGTAACAGCAGATGGGACCGAAGAGGTGTTAAATTCCTGTCAGTAAACATTGCATTGAGTTTTTACCGCACTAAGTCAGATCCTCATTCAGTTTAATCAGTTTATCCCAAAAAAGGGTTTGTCATTTTTTTTCTGTACCGCACCGCACTACACAACCTCAGTCCTCGCTCTACAGTTCATCCAAAGGACTATTTGATTCTCTGATTTGATCGAATACTCGGCAATGTCCCGAGTTAGCTACCGTTGTAATTGAGGGCTATACAAAAATACATTGAATTGAATTGAATAACCTATCTGTCCGTGGGAGTGGATCCCTCTCAATGTGGGCCCCTGGATTTCTCACTTGTTTTCCCACTGTTGTTTTGATTTTTTGCGTTGTTCCTTGTTGATGCAGGAGGGTCTAAGGACAGTGATGATTTGTGACGTTTAAGGATAACATTTATGGCCACTGGTCATCCCGTTCCCTATGGACCAATGGCTCCTATCTGTGCTGTAGTGAGTTGCAAGTTGCTTTTAATATTAATAATGACCCAAAAGTGTCATAAAGCAAAGTTGACAAAAGCATGTTATGGCTATTTAAATTATACATTATTCATTTTTTATCAACAGAAAACAATCTTTGTCACTTAAAGACCCTTCATTCGGATTGCATCATCAGGTTTCAGGTTCAATGGGTTTATCAAGTCATGGTGTCAATAATAGTAAATAGTATTTCTTCTTACAATAACGGTCACTAAAATGTAAGCATTTTTGTTCCACAGTCCGAGTTTGAGCAGCCTGCTTCACATTCCTCTGCTCTCTCCCATCGTGTGTTGAGCTGCTGTGGAGAAGCAGCGTTCTGTCCACATGGATTCTTCCTCTTTTGTTTTCTGTCGCCGCTGAATCGTTTGTTTGTTGTTGTGAAAGATGCCAAACTCCACCACAGCTGCTTCCCCATCTCTGCTTAAGCATCCTCTCCACACAACAGGAAAAGTCCAATTCAGCGCAGGACTATTGGGATCCGGTTATTTTTATCTATGCGTCTGCAGTATCCCCTCGCTGGCTAATCATATATCATTTACTGTATTAGGGGTGGTCTTTTGTATTGCTCCATTTGGTAAAGGAAACACAGATTTTGATCATATATAGTTGTTTTCCCTTGTCATTTATTCTCAAAGCCATTTTTATTTTGTCATAATATGTTCTTATACATGAGACAACATTGCTCCAGACCGAGACAGAGACATGCCTCTTGCCTGAGTCTGTAATATGCAGACAATTTGGCCGTGTTCTTCAAGCGTTTTTGATCAAAGAACAAAGTTTGGCGGAGCTTTGATATGACCATTTGACATTTTTGTTGTTGCAGTCTTTGACATCTCTGACCTTATGATTCCGTGGTGTCTCAATACTAAAAGAACTAAAACTCGATTTCAAAGCTAAAGATATAGAATTGATGCTAAATAAATGTTTTTTTGGAACAATGAGCTGCTATCTGGGAGGTGTTCTGGGCACGTTCCACCGGGGAAGACCCAGGACTCGCAGGAGGGACTATGTCTCTCAGCTGGCCTGAGCTTGGGGTCCCCCTGGATGGGCTGGAGGAAGTCTATTTGGATAGGGCAGTCTTGGTGCCTGCCCCCGTGACCCGGCAACGGATGAAGCGGAAGAAAATGAATGGATGGATAGAGCTGCCATCTTTTACATAATAACAACACATTTTTGTATTTTTTTATGGTTCCACAAGTTTTAATTGTATTAATGATTTTGAGTTTTAATGATATCAAAATAGTTCAAAAACTGCACGGAGAATCTCACATTTTGTCCTGTGTATTTGATCATTTTCCAGTACTGATAGTACTTTTTCAAATGTTAGTTTTGATATGGATGTATACCAAATGTTGTATTATTTTGATAACACTAATGCTACATGGTCTTACTGGTACTCACTAGACCCGACAATATTTTTTAATTCAAAGTATTGATTCTAACTTCAACATTGATTCCTATCTGATTTTGAATACTTCTGACAACACGTCTCTACAGCAGAAGTATTTGATGCAGAATCCTCATCCGTTTTGGTGACAGTCCTGTGGATGGGTGTAAATGCCATTACCGTATAGAACAATGCAGCTACATTAGCCATTATGCAAATTGTCAGGAGCTTAAGTGATACATGTTAATCATATTAAGGGGCTTAATTACAGGAATCTGACTGTGATGGCTTCAGTAATTAACTCTGACATCACCGAGCAGAGATTTCGGAAAGAATCAGGCAGCAACATGTGTGCGTAATGTCTTCAGCAATCGATTTACATTTTCAGGTAAAAGCAGTTCTATAGCAAATACAAATGACTATGCCACATTTTGGACCTCCCTGGGATTTCTCACTTTTTCCCCACTGGGTTTTTGAGTTGTTCCTTGCCGATGCAGGAGGATCTAAAGACAGATAGATAGACATTTAAAAACATTTATTAATATATGTGGACATCTGCCCCTATGTGGACCAATTGCTCCTCTGCGTTATTATTGCATTTCCTGTGTTTGAACGGTTTGATTCTTAGATCTGTTGTTGAGGAATCGACAATGTTGTAAAGTCCTCCAAGACGACTGTTGTAGTGATGTAGGGGTATACAAAAAAATAATAATAATTGCATTTTTTTGATAACAGACAGCCTATAGACTATAGAAGACCAGATATGATGAGTGATGTGAAGGTACTGAGATCCATTTGACTTTTTACTTGTTTATCTCCATACAAAAGTCAAACTCAAACACAATATTTTAATAGTACAACAAAGACCACCATTCTTATAGAAAACAAACACAACATTTTAACTTTAGTAAAAAAACAAAACAAAAAATCTCTTTGAACTGTACATTTATTTTACCCCAGTCTTTGCATCACGACCAAAACAACAAACAAATATTACAGCACTAAAACCGCTCTCATAAACTGCGGATCCTTCTCGTACCTGCTTTTTCCACTGTACATTTCGGAGACAGTATTTTCCTCTACCCAAACTCTTGTGATGTGATTAACGGCTCTGTTTTCACTGATGAACGCTCTCCGTGGTCTCCTCTGAAGCAGCTGGAATTCTGTTTGTTGAAAAAAATCACATTTGCTCCGTGGCTTCTGCTGCTGCTGCTGCTGTGAGCGTGGAGATTAGAGGCCGATCCAAGAGAAGGAAAAGGAGCAGCAAAAGCATTCCATATTTCAACAGCTTTAGGCATGAAAAGAGCTGGTCATATGCTGAAATGTAAGGTAGTATATTTATAGGGTGAGTTTGAATAAGCGCTGTGCAGTTTATCGCAAAATGCAGTCCATCTCCATGTTGTGCATGAAGCCTTTGGGTGTATAGAGATTTAAAGGGGACCTCACATGCTGCATGGACTTTTCATAAACATGGCTTTCATTTCAATTCGATTCCATTTATTCTTGTAAAGCCCTTGTATAGCCCTAAATCACAACAGTAGTTATCTCAGAGGACTTTACCAAACTGAGTTCGCCAACACAGATCAGAGAGTCAAACCGTTAAAACGCAAAGAATAGAGAACACATAGGTAATGGTCCATAGGAGGGAGTTGACCAATGTCCATAAATGTTGATAAATGTCCATGCTTTTTCTTGTGGTTTACACATTCACACAGTTGTTGAGTGATTCAAATATGTTTGAGTCATTGATATTTTTCTATAATCAAGATGCAATTTTTGCTGATTGAGGGTGGTCCTCTCGTTTTCACTTTTCTGTTTAGAAATGTGATAGAGGCTTAAAAATACATGACAACTAGTGATCAAACTGTTTTGAGAGCGAGGAACTAGTTAGATATTTCAATTTCTGGGTTTTGAAAGTTAGGTCAGCTTTAATTTGTTATTTTTTTAAATCCGTGATGCATGCTAAATTCACAAATGGTGCTGTGAGGAAAGACAAATTCAGGGTTGGATGTCGTCCAGAGTCTGACGGTAGCGTGCGTGTCTCGATAAAGGGGACTTTCAATTCCATAAGATAGATTTCACATTTTAACTAAAATACAGCACTAGTGATGCCTTTATAGATAATATAAGCTAAGATAAGAGATCCTTAATTCATCCCGCAGTGGGGAAATTTCAATGTTGTGGCGCATATATCTAATTTATTGAAGATGAATGGTTAATAAAGTTAAAACATCAAAACAAAAATGTATATATATATATATATATATATTTATACAAACTTATAAACTACACATTTTCAAAACAGTATTAGTGTGAATATATGGGAAATTGTGTTCTGCAAGTTTGAAATCAAATCATTTCTAAAACGAACGATGTTACTAAATAAAATATCAATATTGAATAAAATTATGATATACATCTAAAATCTTTGTCTTTGAGGATCCATCTGGTGGGACTGAATATGGAGTATGGTGCTTCTTTAATAAAGTCGTTATTGTACTAAACATATGTTAATGACCAAGTGTTGTCGTAGATTACACCTATGTAGCCGACAGGAGAACGCTGTAGCCATTTACCACTATTATAACTTGATCCCAACAGAATTGGCTCTGCTCCACGTCAAATTGTAGTGCTTTATTACCCCCTATTTCCCTCCGTCCCTGCAGGTTCACTTGGCCTTTTTCTCTGCAGCACGCTCCCAATTTAATCAAGTCCACAAATTTGCTATGCACGTT